AAAAGGCTGTTAGCTGACTAACCATGTCTGGATATTATTAATCACATAAAATAGAACATGTATTCTTTGTCTTTTCCTTAACTCTCTCATTGGTTTAATGTCTTCCCTTGTAACCCTTGTGGCCATCCCTTTAAGAGATAGCCAGAACTTTTTACAACCTACAGCTGCTGTCAGTCACCAATTAAGCTGACCAAGTCTTTGCCAAGTGTGACTCTTATCAGAATGCTTGTCCCTGAGAGTTTGCTTTGTAGTTTTTACTAACAAGTTGTTAATGAATGGATATAAATGTGTGTGTGTGTGTGTGTGTGTGTGTGTGTGTGTGTGTGTGTGTTTGTGTGTACGCTTGGGGGAACAAAGGAGAGAAGATGGAAAGAGCTAGATGGAGATGAGAGAACAGCTGGAGGGACTGAGAGCAGGAGGGACTGAGAGGAGCTAAGTATGAGGACAGAAAAGAAGCTGTGCAGATAGAATTAGCTGAGAAGAATAACGTGAATGGACAAAAGAACTCGGTGTGCTTACATTCGATAGCCCTCAGATCAATATCCTGGCTGCTTGCAGCTTCTGTTCTGGACCCTGATAGAAATCTCCTCAGGGCAGGCACCTGTGGAGAATTCGTTAGTGACCCACATCCATGCAGGAGAGAAGGGGCTCCTCACTGTGATAACACTCCCAATTAAATATAACCCTGAGCCAGGCCTAGTGGCACACATGCTCAGGAGGCAGAGGTAGGTGGTTCTCTGAGTTCAAAGCCAGCTTGATCTACATAGTGAGTTCCAGAACAGCTAGAACTACATAGTGAGACCCTGTCTCAAAACAAACAAGTAAAACAAATATGACTCTGAGACTTGGGCCCTACCAGAAGCCATCTGGCTGCCAGCCAAGGTAGCCATTATACATTTCAAGGCCCATCAATAAGACAACCCAGTGTTTCTCAGGGGAACAACCATGGAGGACCAGGCTACGCAGGCCACTGTTTCTGCTCTTGGGTACCTTAGTTCCTCATCCACTCCCCCACATCCACAGTCTATCTCTCAGGAAAATAACAGACTTTAGATTGCAACTTGGAGCTGAAGAGATGGCTGAGTGATTAAGAACATTGACTGTTCTTCCAGAGGACCCAGGTTTGGTTCCCAGTACCCATTTGGTAGTACACAAGCACCTGTAACTCCAGTTCTTGGGGATCTGATGCCCTCTTCTGGCCTCTGTAGGCACTGCATGCATGGGGTACACAGCTATACATGCACTCATTCATGTAATAAAAATTATTTGTACTTATATATCAAGGTTTCACAGCCTCTGCAGAGGGATGGATGGTTGCAAAGCCCAGCAATCCCTGGATCATCATAGTAGAAGCTCCTAAGCAATTTTTATCCAACCACACTTCTGGCCAAAGCCTACAAACTCTAATTTCTGGTTTCTTCAAGGCTTTGATGAAGAAGAGATATTGAATTTTGTCAAAAATCTTTGCTCTGTCTATTGTTATGATCTCGTGATTTTTGTCCTCAAGTCTACTTCAGTGTTCTCTTATTCATTTGTGTTGTGTTGAACCAACTTTGCATCCCTGGGTTGAAACTAAGTTGATCATGGTGCGTGGTCCTCTCCACATGACCTTGAATTTAGTTTGCAAGACTTTTGTTGAAAAAAAATAATCTCTAGTCTTCAGGAAATTGGTCTGTAGTTTTGTTTTTCTTTTCTTTTCTTTTCTTTCTTTCTTTCTTTCTTTCTTTCTTTCTTTCTTTCTTTTCCCCTTAACCTGGCTGTGGTGCTGGGATAATATTGACTTTGTAGAATGAGTTTGGTACTGTTCCATTCCGGGATATTTTATGGAATAATTTGGGGGCGGGTATTGGTGTTAGCTCTCCTTGTTTCTACTTAAAATGACAGTGAGGTACTTGTCTCTCTACCCAGGCAACTAACTTCCTCAACTCTTACAAAGAGACCTCCCATCCCTCTCTGGGGAGTCACCAGTTGCCTCTCCGAGGTGTGTTTCAAAAAATTCTGGCTTTTTATTCCCTTGGCAAATTCATTTTACTGACACCTGTCACCATTTCACATAGCAGGGAAAGTGGTCAGACCACGCAGCAGAGCCTTCCAGGATCACCTCAGTGCCCTTATCCAAGAGGCCTATTGTGAGTAAGTTACGCCCAAAACATAGAGGAACACATCTGTGTCCTTCCACAGTGTCAGAATTTATTGGGTAAGAGTAAATTCACAAGGCTTATCAATGACATCCATTTTTCATATCATCTCTCTTAGCAACATAGATGAGACAAATAGAGGTTATTTTATTCCAGTTTTTCAAAGGATGTATTTATTTTGGCTTTATGTGTATGAGTGTTTGCCTACATGTGTGTATGTGCACTACATATGCTCCTGGTGCACACAGAGGCCAGAAGAGGACATCAGATCTCCTGAAACTAAAGGTAGAGATGGTTGTGAGCCATCACGTGGGTGCTGGGAAACTGAACCCAAGTCCTCAGCGAGAGCTCTGAACCGCTAAGCCATCTCTCCAGGGTGTTTTCATTCAAAACTTAATTACTGCTACTAAGTCATACCACACAGCACACAGTAACTATATCTGTATGCGTGATACAGAATGAACAAAGAGGCTGCAGTGGAGTCCACGAGGCCTGAGGAGTTGATAAGGCCCACAGATGAGACCAGTGCCTGGAGGGAGCCGCTGGGGTCAAGGTTTGAGAGCAAAGTTGTTCCAGCTGTGAGTCAAAGGCCCATCCTGGATGGAACCAGGGTCTGAGTGCAAGAAACGGGTCCAGAGCAAAGGACAGGGGCTCAGATCCAGATGGGTGGACAGACGGACGGCAAACAGTCAGGGAAGCCGCATCAACAGGGAAATCAAAGCTCCAAGGCTGGGTGGGGGTATGGGCCTCGATCACACATGACAGGTATCCGATGATTGGTTGGTATGGTGCCATGCCAGCACAGTGTTAGGTGTCCATCACTTTATGAGGCCCAAGTGGGTGAGTTCATTCTTTCCTTGGCCAGGCCTGGATCCCCTGAGATGATTTTAATGTACCCATGTGCCCCTATAGTTTCAACTCACCCCAATACATTTAGAGGGTGGTCCCCTTTCTATTCCCAGGAATAAGTCTATGTGCTCCATGGATAGTGCAGTTTCTGGGTTCATCACAAGGCTACAATCATTCTTTTCCTCCAAAATGGAGACAAAAGCTGACTGTAAAATGGAATCTTCTAGAGCAAGGCATAGCCTGAAAAATAGAGTAGCTTAGAGTAGGGTGGGGCCTGGTCTCAAGAGCCCTGGAGGAGCTGCCTTGTACGAAGCAGTCCTTCGATTGCTTGAGAACAATATTAGAAGGCGCTGTCTGTGGACTAGAATGCAGGCCCCATCAGACTCTGTCACGGCATTTCCCCTCTCCCACAGCACCTTTCAGTTGGGGCCAACACACCATACATCATACCACACGTAAACACAAACCAGGCAACAGGGACCCAGGACAGGAGACATTGAAGATCTTTCTTTCTCTCTTTCTTTCCTTTCCCTTCCTCCTTCCTTGTCTGGGCTCCAAATGCCTAGTACACTGAGTTCAGCAGATCCTGCCTTAGACTTCTGGATGTCCCTCACGTCTCTACCTGCTCCCAGCTCTGCAGGGTGGTCAGGCTCAACCTCTGGTGTTCTCCCCCTTTTATTCCAGCTTCTGGAACTCCCCCACCCCATATGGTATAGGGGGCGATGATTCAGACATTGCCTGTACCAGTCGCACAAATAACACCACACTTTTTAAATGTTTGTTTTGAAATAATCAGCTCACAAAAAGTAGCAAAATGTGGAGAGGTGAGGGTGGGGCTGTGCCAGCATCTAGAGAAGGGCCAGGGACAGAGCAGGAGGCAGGACCGAGAGCAGGGGATGCAGCAGGGTTTCCCCACAGGAGAAAAAGACACTTTCATGTCTGCTTTTGATTTGTCCAGTCCTCTGCCATCCCTTATGAGATGCTTCCAACATCACCCCAGCCAGAAATGGTCCTCTCTTCCTCTAGTGCTCCCCTCTTTATAGTTCATAATACTCGCCCAAGATAGGAAACCAAGAAATATGTGAATAAATAAGTCCTGTTTCTGGGAGTCATTTAACTTTTTAATGAAATTATTTGACCTTCAAACATAACCACAATGGGGACAAGACTGCCTCATCTGATTAAATTTTAACTCTTCTTAACAAACCAGTCAGTAAATGAATTGGGTCTTTGAAAACACTGACAAGCTTTTAAGAAGGCCATGAACTTACAATAACAATCTCAGAAGGTTTTAATTGCGGTGATATGAAGAAGTCACTTGACCTCTTTTAAAAGTGGCATAATGAAACTGGCCACCTGCCCAGCTCTCTGAGTCCCTGTGCATTAATTAATAAGGGTGGTGGTGGGGTGCTGGGAGCCTTCCCATGAGGAGAGGAGAGAGCTCTTTAAAGGCAAACTCTTGTGATGGTTGTAACCAACAATGCTATTATATATAGACTGCCTCTGGTGACTAATTAAACACACTGTATGGAATACATTTTTAATTAATCAGCTTTTATAGCCTCTCAGTTGTCTGGGAATTGTAGATTAGCTGTGGTTTTTGCCTTTGTCAAGGCTCCGTCTCTCTCTCTCCTCTCTCTCTCTCTCTCTCTCTCTCTCTCTCTCTCTCTCTCTCTCTCTCTCAGGTCTCTATCTCTGCCTCCTGTGCTGGGATTAAAGGCTTGCATCACCACACAGAGCCTAAAAGGTTTATTTTAGTTTTATGTGTGCGTGAGTGCATATATGTACCCCTTGTGTGCAGATTCCCACAGAGGCCAGAAGAGGACATTGAATCCCTTGGAACTGAAGTTATAGGTGCTTGTGAGCCACCCAACTTAGGTGCTGGGAAATGAACTTAGGTCCTCAGCAAGAACAGTGTGTGTTCTTAGGGCTGGAGAGATGGCTCAGAGGTTAAGAGCACTGACTGCTCTTCCAGAGGTCCTGAGTTCAATTCCCAGCACCTACATAGTGGCTCACAACCATCTGTAATGAGATCTGGCGCCCTCTTCTGTATACATAATAAATAAATAAACCTTTAAAAAAAAAAAAGAACAGTGTATGTTCTTAACCACAAAGCTACATCTCCAGCCCCTTGTCTTCTCTCGGTGAGAGATGATGACCAGATGCCCCGACATCTCTTTAACCCCGCTCTCTGGCTCTCTGACTTGTGTGTGGTTGCTTGGCTGTCTGTCCTCAGGGGCTTTTCAATTGAAAGCTAAGGTTCTTGGTGCTGCTGAGCAGTTTTAATAACATGTTGAACGCTGTTCTCTGACCTCTGAAGTGTGTTTAGATGGGAACAGCAATGGACTCATTCTGTTTGGTTCCAGAAAGGTAAACTGGGACAGGTGAGAGCCAGATGAACACAGCTTCAGGTCCAAGTGAAAGAAAACTTCTTCATAAACTGCCATCCACTGGAATAGGTCCCATCTGGAGGTGGTAAGCATCTCATCAGCAGAACCTGTGGTCATCAGAGCTACTGGTTTGTACTCATCTGAATCTCCTCTAGTCAATTGTAAGAAAAATGAATGTGTAACACTGGTGTTATTGGAGTTCTTATGGCAAAAGCCAGGGCTCTGACAATCCCAGAAGGCTAGGCTCTGCCACCTACCCCTAATATGCCAATTAAAGGCATTGGTAATATGGAAAAAGCAAATAGACAGACAGAGAAACAGAGACAGAGAGGGAGGGGGAGAGGGACAGAGACAGCGAGAGAGAGAGACAGAGAGATTGATTTGGTGTGCCTCCTTGGTAAGAGGAACAGATAGAGAGGTACAGTTACCCCAGGTCCACCTTCAGGGGACTGGCGTGAGTGTTGATTTTTAGTGGAGGAAGAACTGGGGCAAGAGGTTTTCACATCATCAGTCCTGGTCTAGGTCACTGCTGATTGTTGTCCAGCTTTGAGCCTTCAAGGGGTCTGCAGAGGTCCTCATTGATTAAGGGGACAACTCGGCTCTCAGGAGATGTTGTTTCTGCTCCAGTGTCTGGCTTCACCCCCATGGATAATTGCTCTCCCCTGAGACTTCTTCTTCCTGGAACCAAAGTGAATGCAGATTTAGGTCAGTAACTTGTCTATGTGTCTTCAACCTGGAAGGGGGTTGAGTAGTTTTGGTAGACCAATTCAAACAGAGGTCTGAGCTAATGTAAAGCAGACAGGTACAGAATGAGGACAGATGCCAGGCTTTCGTTTACCTTGTGAGGAGTCTATGCCTTTTAGCAAAAGCAGCATGATGGCCGTTCTTGGCTGTCAACTTGACTATATCTGGAATTAACTAAAAGCCAAAAAAAAAAGTGACTAGGAACATCTGGGAGGAATTTCTTCCTAAATTAAATCATCTGAAGTGAAAAGATCCACTTTTAATCCACATCTTGTGAGATGGGAAGACCCACCTTTAATCTAGACCATACCTTTGGCTGGCAGCCTACATAAAAGACCTGAGAGAAGGAAGTTCTCTCTCTTTGCCTGCTTGCTCTCACTCTCACGGGCAGGTCACTTCTGTCACTGGCAATAGAGCCTAATTCTTGGGGATTCTGGCATGTACTGAAGACCAGCTGAAACATCCAGCATTGAGGGCTGAACAACTACTGGATTCTTGGGCCTTCTGTTGATAGACAGCCATTATGGGACTAGCTGGACCACAGCCTGTAAGCTATTCTAATAAAGCCCTGTAGAAAATAGATAGATAGATAGATAGATAGATAGATAGATAGATAGATAGATAGATAGATAACTTGTTCTATAAGTTCTGTTCCTCTGAAGAACCCTAATACAAGCAGCTTCTAAGTTATCGACTTAACCATAGTGCCCAATCACTAGCTATCTAAAGAAGAAGAAGGAGAAGGAGAAGGAAGAGGAGGAGGAGACCATGAAGCTTTAACTGCTCTGGACAGTAGCAGGCTTGGGCTTAGGTTGTGCAATATATGAAAAATAGAAAATAGCTGGGTGGTGGTGGCACACACCTTTAATCCCAGCACTCGGGAGGCAGAGGTTGGCAGATTTCTGGGTTCAAGGCCAGCCTGGTCTACAGAACGAGTTCTGGAACAGCCAAGACTACACAGAAATCCTGTCTCAAAAACAAAACAAACAAACAAACAAAAAAAGACAAACAAACAAAACAAAAAGAAGGAGAAGGAAAAGATAATAGAAAAATTTCAGTGCACAGTCATACCCTGTGTCCCAAGCCAATGCTCACACTATGAAAAACTGAATTCTGCTAAAAGGAGAGGCCCAGAGGCAAAGCTAAGGGCAGGGTGTCAACAGTGACACAAGGACAGAGGGATGAGTGGGCGGGAGCTCCAGCAGGTCAAAGGTGAGTGGGAAGGGGCTCCGAAACGGGGACTGGGGGGAAGCAGCGCTGCGGAAGGGTCCTCGGAGCCCAGGTGAGTCCTTCCAAGCCAGCTTCCCTCGGTCTGCAAGGGCTGCCGACAGGAGGACTCCAAGAATGATGCCACCTTCACGCAGAGAGACGGTGCTGTGGAAGTGTGCAAAACATGGAGGACTTCAGAGCAAGCAGGGTTCTGGGTGACAGACGGGCAGGTCTGTAGAGCTGGTTGAAGCGGGAGTGGCCTTCTGTCATCCACTCTGGGAGCTCAGGACCTGTTGGACAGCTAAGTTAGCTGACACAAAGGACCCGGGGAGTTGAGAAGCCAAGGAGAATGGAAATCAGTAGCCCAGAGTCAGGTGCCAGGAAGCTCAAATATCAGGCTAGAGAGTTTGGACTTTGGCCTTGTGTGCACGGACTGGACGTTTGGAGCAGGAAAGTGACTGGAATTATGGTTGGTGTAGCCAGAAACTAGCTGGGCAGTGGAATGCAGAGGGAGTGCCAGCCAAGAGACAAGGAGCAGTCGAGCCTGCTCTAAGCCTCAGGCTCAGGGAAGCAAACTTCAATTCCTTCTATGAAACGGGGTGTGAAATTTCCCAGAGTTCTCTCTGCATGTCAGGATTGCCATCACGTTCTCAGAGATAATGCTTCCAAATTTAACAATGTGCAAAGACACTGTGGGTTGTAAAAGTAAACAAGGTTATGTGGCACCTGACCCCAGGATGAGATGTCATCCCTAGAGCCACAGAGCTCTCTGCTTTGGGCATTTGAGCACCTGCTGCTCCCTGGCTTCCACTCTTGCTCTGCCTAAACAGTTTTCGTCATCACTGCTGCGCAGTCACGGCCGCACCCAGGGAAAGACTTCCACTGTGGACACTTTATGGACACCAAGGCCAATGTGACCAGAATCAACAGGGATCCCCGTGCCCGTGATGCAAAGAGACAAATTAGATCTCTTTTTGAGCATGCCTTTGAGGGACTTGACCCGCATCAAACAACGACCATGTGCTAATTCTCAACACTGGAGATACCGCTGTGAGCAGTCAAGCCTGCACCCTTGCAGCCCCCATTGCAAAAAGACATAGACATCGGACAGGCAAGGCAGCTGTGTGCTGCACTCGATCGTGGTTAAGTAGTGTCAGGAAGAAGGGAGCAGGAATGTGCAAGAGAGCTGGGCTGTGCCATGCATGCTAGCTATGTTAAGAAGGTGACCCTGGGCAGGGCAAACTGGAGCACAAAGCTAGGCCGAGTGAAGGAGGAAGCCCTCGGATTTCTGGGACGAATGTTCCAGGCAGACCGCTACATGTGCAAAGACCGGGAGAACAGACTGTGTTTACTGTTCAAGGAGCTGCGAAGGGCAGAGTGAGGCTGGTCCGGAGCAAGGAGGACCTGGAGAGGAGCGTGGCTGTTAACTGAGTGTGGCTTTCTAAGCAGAGGACTGTTGCTGGCTTGCACCCTAACAGGATACCTCTGGTGGCTGTGTTGAGACTAGTTAAGAGGCTGCTTTCCCTAACAGGATCCCTCTGGTGGCTGGGTTGAGACTAGTTAAGAGGCTGCTTTCCCTAACAGGATCCCT